TCAAGTTTGATCAGAGAGAGACACAAAGAGAAAGTGAGAAAGCCATCCACCAGATCCCGGACTTGAACTCATTCAGTCATGTGGGAGTCCAGTGCCTTTAACCATCATGCCATCTGCTGGCCCTCTAAGCACTTTTTAAAAACTTAATTTTTTTCTTGCAAGTCAGAGACAGAGAGGAAGACAAACACTGCGAACTGATGTCACACTGCAACCCCCACCCCAGGCTTCCCAGCCAGTCAGGATCATGGGTATGAACCCTGCGTGTACAGTGGACCCAAAACAAACCTTGATCTTCCATATGGACCCAGCTTTGGTTGAATAGCAAGTTACCCCTGCACCACCAACTTGCCCTAAGCATGCTTTTATAAACATACTCAGGCAATTCTACATAAATGGAATCTCAGTTTTATTTTTTCTAAATGTTTTTCTTTTAAAGAATTTTTTTATTTAACTTTGTTTATTTATTTTTATTTTTATTTGATCAGAGAAGAACAGAGAGAAAGAGAGAAAGAGAAAGAGAGAAAGTGAGAAAGCAAGTCACCAGGTCCAGGACTCGAACCACAGTTGTCCATGTGGGAATCCAGCACCCTTAGTCACCATGCCATGTGCCGGTCCCATCTTTTTTCAAAAATGGTTATCACTGGGGCCAGCAGGTGGTGTGTGGTGGTTAAGGGCCCTGGACTCTCCCATGGTTGACTGCGGTTCAAGTCCTGGACCTGGCAGCTTGCTAACTTTCTCTCTCTCTCACTCTGTCCCTCTCTGATCAAACTAAAATAAATAAATAAATAAATGAAGTTCAATAAAATGATTTAAAAAATAGTAGTGGCATGGTGTTATATTGTACCATAATTTAACCCTGGCATAGTTTGTCTCTCTCAATTCTCAGGAAAATTACACTGCTGATGGGTTCGTTCTGCATCTGGTTGGGACTTCTGCCTTTATGATGAAGCATGGCAGCTGTATAGAATCTAAGTATGCATTCATCATTGACCCATGCCTTAAACCATGCTTTAGTTTTGAAATCTCAAAGCTGAACTAGGGTGTTTTGCTCACGAAACAAAATAATAAATATTTTTTCCAGATTTACAGAAACAAAAGTAGTGGATAAGGGGACCAGCAGATGGTGTAATGGTTAAATTACTGTACTCCTACCAGTTGACTGAGGCTCTAGTCCTGGACCTAGTGGCTTATAACTAACTACAGGTGTGTGTGTGTGTGTGTGTGTGTGCACGTTTGATCTGGATAAGGGAAAAAAAAGGAAAAAAAAACCCAAGAAGAGAATGGAGGAGAAAGGATTGTGGCATGACCATTCCCCATGGGGAGTGATTTCTCCCTTTCTGTCTCTCTGTCTCTCTGGTATTCTAGCAAGCACATGCGCCCTATAGCAAACATCTCTCTTAAAAAGAAAAAAAAAAAGTAATGTATGGGCTTTTTCTAATATTGAAACTACTCCCATGAGGCTGGGAAGGATTGGGCAAGGACCTAGAGTGATAATGATTAATGGAAACAAAATTGCAGATAGGAGAAACAATGTCTGGTGTTACAAAGTACAGTGGGGAGATAACAGATGGCAACAGTTCTGTGTATATCACAGTAACTAAAAGAGAGGATTTGGAATGTTCCCAACAGAAGTAGCTACAAATAGTTGAGATGACAAGTATCACCCTTATTTATTCTTACACATGGTATTCTTTTTAAAATTATTTATTCAATTTTATTTATTCATTCATTCATTTTTTAAAAAATTTGGCCAGAGAGAGACAGAGACACAGAGAGAGAGTGTGAGAAAGCAAGCCATCAGGGCTGGGACTCGAACTCTGGTCAGCCATATGGGAATGTCCAGCGTCTTAGCCACCACGTCACCTACTGGTTCCCAATTGTATTCTTTTTTAAAAAAAGAATGATTTAATTTTATTTATCCATTTATTTATTTATTTTAATCTGACCAGAGAGGGACGGGGAGAAAGAGAGAGAGAGAGAGAGAGCTCACGCGCAAGCAAGCAAGCCGCCAGGTCCAGGACTTGAACAGGGTCGACCATGTGGGAGTCCAGCGCCCTTAACCACCTCACCACCGGCTGGCCACCCACATTGTATTCTTGTACTGAAAAAAAAAAATCATTGGACCCCCCACAAATATGTAGAAGTATCATGTTAATGAAATATTTTTTAAAGTACTCTCGTGTATGCTATTACATTTTGGACGCCTGCTGCCACTGTCTTGTATTTAACTGCAACAAAAACTGATACAGGATTTGCACACATTTTCATACTGAATTATTTCGGACAATATGTCAGGATTTCATGACGGTTTGTGAGAAGTTCGGACACTGGAGATCTGTCAGCATCAAATGATAATGGGGATGATTCCTGAGAAAAACTCTCCCTTACCTCATCGTATCAAGGAAAAACAAACAAACAAACTCGATTCGGCAAGCTGAGTTCGCTGAAAATTTTTGGAGAAAGCAGGATATATTCGACAGGAGTTAGGCGCCGAGTGTGGAGTACTGTGCTGGAAGCGGGGGGCTGTTCCGTCAAGGTGAAAAGGACGTAGCCCCAGTCATGCCGGAGCTCGAAACAGGTAAACCGTGGTGAAAACTCTGGTGAAGGGGCAGGACTCGGAACGGGTGTACTAGCCCCAGCCCCGATACTTTGAGGGACTATACACCTCTCGCCGTGAAAGTCGCCAGGTATTTCCCCTTAACCCCAAATCATTGGCGCTGAATTCCAGAGAACCGCAACAAAAGCACAGACACGGCAGAGTCCCCTGACCCTGCTCTTTCTCAAACACCGGAATAGTCCTCAACTTTCCCCGCAGGATAATGAGGACCTTCCGGTTCCGAAACATCGCCCCAGAAACTACAAGTCCCAGTAGGCCGCACACGGAGCAGCGTAGGCCCGCTCGCCGCAGTACGCACCAATTCCGGGGCTGGCTCGCGA